CATTTTTGTCACTTGTGACTTGGCCTCAAACTTATGGTATAAGCTTCTTTCCTTGTTTGGTTGGTCGACTGCATTGACCACAGATATCTCAAAGCCCCTCGATTATACTGTCAATGGTCACCCTTTCAAAAAGGGGAAACTTTACCTTTGGAATCATTTTGTCCGAGCTTTACTGTGGACTATATGGACAGAAAGAAATCAGCGAATTTTCCAAGATATGGAGCGCACACATCACCTCATTTTTGAATCTATAGTTTTTTTGGTTATCTCTTGGTGTAAATGCTCCCCTCTTTTCCATCATTACAGTTATGCCTCCCTCTTATCTAACTGGAGASCCTTTTCGTAGCCCTTTTCTTGGGCCTTATGTTCTCATATTTCATATATGATGCAGTCTTGYCCAATGAAATCTTGAAGAAAACTTGTTAATGCCTTTACCAAAGAGGTCAGCCCTATTTATAAAGGCTGCCTTACTAACTGTTACACGGTAAAAACAAGTTACTGTGTAGTAACTTRGTAACTAACTAACAAAGCTACAACTAATTTAGAAAAGAACGTATATAACAACTAACTACCACATCAATATATCAATGAAATAGTTTCTTTATCCAAAAAACACTCTCCATTGATTATTAATTCATGGAAAATCTCTCCATTGACTATTATTTTTGTAGCCTTACTACTTCAATAAATTTTCATAGGCTTCAATTGAATACATACTTCCCTGCTACAGTAACCTTGAAAAACAAAAGTCTTAAACAAAGCTTTCATTGAAAAGAACAGGAGTACATACAGTTGAGGAGGCAAGGCCATTGCCATTGAGTGATTGAATTGCATCCCCAGTAAAGGCATCAATAGGCCTCGAATCTTCAAGATCAGGATAAGAAGCCGCTGAGAATCTCCAAAAGGGAGCTGTCTCCCCCATTTTCTCCCTTCTCAGTGCTATCTATACACAGCCAAACACATTCAAAGAATATTAAACATGAAAATTTATAATCCGTATATCAATAAATTTGCACCTGATAAACTTAAACAATGATAGAAGGTTCTAATCAACATACCAACCAAGATAAATTTCCGATTTGGGGATATTTAAATATGTATAGATAGGTATGTGTGGTAGCATACATTCGTTACATATTTTAGATAATTTCTTTTTAAATTATGTGCCTCTTTTTTAACACAAAACAAATTTTTCATCAATATATGAGAAGATAGAATGTTCAAGGATATCAACTCCCAAAGGAGTGAAAAGAAAGCATGCAACCAAACAAATAAAGTAATCCCCATGAGGCCATTTTGATGAAAATACTAGAGCAGATGAAAAGTTTTTCTAAGATGGTCTTTGTTCTATGTTTTATGTTGAGAAATATGGATTCGAGACCCCTCCTTCAATTGATCCCTCTTCTCATGCTACTTTTAAGGAGCCAGGGCCTTCTTCAGGTCTCCATGAGCTGAGTTCAGAATCATGCTTTCRTTCCCTTCACAAGGGAAGATCTCTTTCAATATGGTGCAGAAATCAGAATTACTTTTTATGAGATTAAGTCCRAAGGTTTGTCTTTGCGTTCAGAGGGGTTCTCATGGCATTTCTCCTGCTTTTCTGACACCTCGTTTTTCGTGGCTGTAGTTCCCTTTTGATAGCCTAGTTGGTGGTTCGTTGTGCTTTTGGCCATCGGTTCTTCAATTTCGTGGCTCTTCTTTGGAGGCTTTTGGTATTCCTAACTGTCTTGCTTTTCTCCTCTTTATAGTTCATCTTTCCCTTTTAGCGTTTGCAGCTTCTGGTTTCTCATGTGGATTTTCCTTCTTTCACTTTTTTGGAGTCTATGTTTGGTTGGATCCTTCTTATTCTTGGAGAGCTTGTTTTGCTCTATTTTGGTTATTTTTTGCTCTGTATTTTTAGTTTGGCTGGGTGTTTAGTTCTTTTCACACGGTGGAAGTTTGTATCCTTGAAATTTTTATATCTTTTCATCATTGTCAATGAAAAGTTATTTCTTATTTAAAAGAAAAGGTAAATAAAGATCTCCAATCATTACAAGAGCCAAAATATAAACAAAGCATTGAATGGCTCCAAGGAAAGATCTAGCAATGTTGAGAAGAAAACTCAAAATCAACAAACCAAAGCAACTAAAGTCAAATCCTCCGAGCTACAAAAATGCAGCATGCTTCAGCTGAAAAGATCTTTGTAAAGGGCCAAAACTCGGAAAAGATGACCAGCTATCAAGGAGACCGCCAAAGATATAATAAAACCTCTATTGCTGCAAAAAACCACTAGCTAACCAAATCAAAAGCTACTCAAGCACACTCCTCAGAGAAAACTCAACCAGACGTTCTAGATAATTATGTGCTATTTTGAAATATTCTAGACAATTATTCTGGTTCATTTTTATTTTCTAGGATTCTTATTTTGTCGGTTTGATCCTGGCATAAGTGATGACTCGCATTTAGAGAGTTATTTAGTGTTAAACTTCCAGTAAAAAAAAAGGGAGGACAACGGAGTAGATGGGGGTTGTAATTGCCTGTGGTGTGCTGTAAATTGTTGAAATTGTAATACACGAAATCTTTTGAGCATTAGTTAAGATCGGTAAGAAATTCGTGTTATTTCTGAAAAATGCTACTCTGCCACAAGCCATGTAGAGCATCAAGGTTAGTGAAGATCAATGATGCACAGTAAATACAAATTTCATAGCTGTCAATTACCCGATTACGTGCAACCCATGTGGTTGCCCTAACTCCAAGAGTCATATAAAAKCAAAAGGACAAGCAGCCAAAAAATGAGGAGAATCCCGAGGAAGAACATTCTTTTGCATGGAGAATCACGAAAAGCCCACCTGGAGGTGACAAAAGAGGAAGGATCAAATACCTTTCTACTGGAGCTTTTACCCGGCGGTCACACGAGCAAAATCTTTTGGGTTTCTCTCTTCTTAACCCACATGAACTTCAGGATGGGTTACATCATTTCTTACCTTCTATGTGTGTTATTCATCTGTAATATGAGCTAAACCCGCATAGGGGAGGGGGTCTTTAATCTTTTGTTGTGAACACTTTTTTTCTCTTGTTAGTGGAGTTACCCTTTCTGGTTAAGCAAGGTGTGTATATTTTGTTATTATTGTGGATGTTTGGCCAGCATATATGAATAGCTAATTTTAATGTTGGAAGACTTCTGAAGTTGTGTTTCACCTTGTTTAATGCTAGATCTATGCTTGTATATAGGGTGTGGACACTTGGGAATAAATTTCACCTATTATAGTGATGAGTTGTTGTTCCTCGACCATTAAGATAGTGGAAGCTGATTAATGGTATGTTTGGATTGAAAAACTTATCAAAAATTTCTTTGGGGAAGGACATGAGAAAGGAAAATTGAAGCATCTAGCTAATTGGAATCTAGTTGCACCTCACCTTGAAAATGGTGGTCTTGGCTTGGGTAGTCTTGTTGCAAAAAATAAAGCCCTTCTTGCTAAGTGGGGTTGGAGGTTTTGCCATGAACCTCCTCAAGCCCTTTGGCATTCGGTAATAGACAACATCTATGGCTCAGATCCTTTCAACTGGAATACCTTGCCTAAAGCCAATAATTGCTCTAGTCCTTGGACAAACATCTCCAAACATTGGTTGGTTGCTTGACAACAGTGCATCTTCCTTTTTGGAACGGAAACCGCATCTCTTTTTGGCATGACAAATGGAAGGGTGATCGGCCTTCATGGACAAATTCCCTCATCTATATTCAATCAGTGTATACCCCCACTGCTCGGTCTCGAATGTTTGGGACCGCACCACAAGTAGTTGGAATTTTGCCTTGAGAAGTAGCCTAAAAAACCCCCACTGCTCGGTCTCGAATGTTTGGGACCACACCACAAGTAGTTGGAATTTTGCCTTCAGAAGGAGCCTAAAAAACAGTGAAATTGTAGAGCTCTCAGCCCTTCTCAATTTCCCATCCAATACTTCCCCCTTCATCAGTAGAGACAATGATGTAGTGTTTTAGTTGTTATTTTAAGGTTTTCCTTTAAGATGTAGCTTTCAAGCTTTGTTCTTTATTTAGTTGTTAGTTACTACACAGTAACTAGTTTTTACTGTTTTGTGAGTTGTTAGCCAAACTCTATAAATAGAGGCTGATCTCTTAATAAAAGATATCTTTCATTCTCTTCAAGAAACCATTGTGTTTGTGTACATCAGACAAGCTCGAGTGGAGCCCTGAATCCTCCTCTGGTCTCTTCTCAGTCAAATCCTTATCAAGTCTTTTGGAACCTTCACACAAGATACCATGAAATAAATCGGGTAGCCCGAAGAGGGTTAGTGTATTCTTGTGGATAGTTCTGTTTAGCAACCTCAATACTTTGGATATTCTTCAGAAAAAGCTGCCTTCCTTATTACTCCAGCCCTCATTCTGCGTTCTTTGCTCAACAAAGAGTGAAAGCCAAATTCATATACTATTCCTTTGTCCTTATGCCGCCAGCTGTTGGGAAAGACTATATTGTTTTTTCAATTTATGTTGGGCTTTCTCCAATTCAGCTTCGGGGAACTTACAACAGCTTCTTTACGGTCCTTCCCTTCCCCCAAAAGCTCATCTTCTTTGGATCAACGTCCTTAAAGCACTGTTATCTGAATTTTGGTTTGAAAGAAACCAATGGATCATCAGGATAAAAGAAGATATTGGGTTGACTATTGTGATCTAGCTAAATACAAGGCTTCTCTTTGGTACTCGATGCAACCCCTTTTTCAAGCTTATTCCTTTTATGCAATTTGTTTTCCTGGGCTGCTCTCCTTTCACTTTAGCTTGTATTTTACCGTTTTTATGTTCTTTTCATTTTCACTCCCACGAGAATTTGTATCTTTGAACGTTTTTATATCTTTTCATACATCAATAAAAAGTTCGTATGTTGTTCCAAAAAAAATAAATGGCATGCTAAATATGTATYATACAAGGATGGTGTGATGAGCTAATTTTAGGCATAGTCCTTAAATATTATAATCACCGTAACATATAACCTTAAACTAACACGGTTAAGAAAAAAAATTTATTAGACACAAAGATTGAAAGTTCATTGACTTATAAAAAACTTTTTAAAATTCAAGAACTAGATAAATGCAACMATGAAAGTTTAGARACATATTAAAAACCTTTTAAAGGTAGAGTCTCARTAGATACAATATGCAACTTCAAGTATCAAAAGTATAATTTAACCTAAAAAGCAAGCAAATAACAAAAAATAATACAACCTAGTGATGAAAGATGACTTCCAGAGTAAGAACTTTTTTCTCAGTTTATCAGGTTTTCAGCATGGACATTACACTTCCATTTGACAGCTTATATATCAATCGCATCACAAAACTTTAAATTACCCAAGCTAGAAATGGAGTTGAAATGTCACAGCTCTTGATTGTCATCCTTATCTTTTTAGCTTTTCAACTTAATTACTCTAATCAGTACAAATACATGCATTAATTACCCAGTGTGAACAAGCATGCCTCCATAAATAAACTGATTGAAACAAATTTGTTATCTACCTTTCCGGTTCTAGCAAGTTCTCTAATTCCAAACTTGCTGAAGTTTCTTTCGACGGCAACCAGCTTTCCAGGATCTCCGGTCACCTTAAGACATGAAGAAAGAACAAACTTATCTTAGAAGAGTACAAAGATRCAAAGAAGATTGGTGTTAGATCCAACCTTCCCTTCTTTTCAAACTAGTATTACAACTTTTCCCTTATTTTAGATAGGAATTACAATACCCCAAAGATATTTCATTGATCAAATAAAATATACGAAAGAATAAATCCCCATAAATCGAAAATTACAAAAGCGCCTTCTAGTTATAAAAATCACTAAGACTGTAATTTGTAAAAAAGGAGAAAAACATTTACACCAACCAAAAGCTTGTATAAAAACCATATAACAAAAACTTTAAAAAAGGGAAGAGATTTTTATCGTTGAACYTTTCCTCTTTATTACTGTAAACACTATGGTTTGAAAGAATCCAACGTAGTCTATTCTCATTATTAAAGTYTATATGTATAGACAAATATACAATGTTGACCTAATCCTACAAGGAGAAGGTAAAGGACAAATTAATACGTATTAATACAAGAATATAAAATATACTAATATATATACTTTAACACTCCCCCTCAAGTTAGTGCATATATGTTAATCATGCCCAGCTTGTTAGAGAGACAATCTATTCGTGCTCCATTCAATGCTTTAGAAAAGACATTTCCTAATCGCTCTCCAATCTTCACAGTTCACATATCCTGTAGCCACCAATCCTTGCTGTATTTCCTCACATACATAATGACAATCAACTTCCATGTATTTGGTTCGTTCATGAAATACTGGATTAGATAAAATATGGAGAGCTGCTTGATTATCACACCAAAATTTCATTGGAGTGGTGATGTCAAATCCCAATTCAGTTAGAAATTGATATATCCATACTAATTCACACACCGAATGTGCTATAGCTCTATATTCTGATTCAGCACTCGAATGCAACACCACATTTTGTTTCTTACTTTTCCAAGAAACTAAATTACCTCCGACAAATACACAATATCCTGAGGTTGATCTTCTAYTTTCCTTAGAACCTGCCCAATCAGCATCTGAAAAACATTCAATATTAAGATGATCATGATCTTTATATAACAAACCACGTCCAGGAGCACSTTTCAAATAACATAGAATATGTTCCAATGCGACCCAATGGCCAGTCGTAGGAGAACTCATAAACTTACTCATAATACTGACTGGATAAGCTATGTCTGGCCTCGTAACTATAAGGTAATTCAGCTTTCCTACTAACCTCCTATACTTCTCAGGATCTTTCAACAACTCCYCTTCCTTTGTAAGTTGTAAATTAAGTATCATTGGGATACTACGTAGCTTAGCAGCTAATTTTCCTGTTTCAGTTAACAGGTCAAGTACATATTTTCTCTCTGATAAGAGAATCTCCTTCTTGCTCCTTATTACCTCAATTCCTAAGTATTTCGACACTCCCAAATCCTTAGTATGGAATTGAATATGAAGAAAAGTTTTGAGTGATAGGATGCCTGATGAATCATTATCGATAATCACAATATCATCAATATATACAACCAGTAAGATAACACCAGACTCAATTTGTTTATAGAAGACAGAATGGTCCGACTTACTCTTCTTCRTTCCAAAGTCCTCAATCACCTGACTGAATTTTCCAAACCATGCTAGTGGACTTTGTTTCAACCCATATAAGGATTTACGAAGACGACATACCTTTCCATTCTCCCCCTGAGCAACAAAATCTGGTGGTTGCTCCATATACGCTTCTTCTTGAAGATCACCATGGAGGAAAGCAATTTTAATATCAAGCTGATGTAAGGGCCAAAGGTGAATAGATGCCAAGGAAATGAATAACTTGACAGAAGCCAATTTAGCAACCAGAAAAAATGTATCAAAATAATCAATTTCATAACTCTGTGCATATCCTTTAGCAACAAGGCGAGTTTTCAAACGGGCAATTGATCCATCAGGATGAACTTTAACCGCAAACACCCATTTACAACCAATAGCTTTCTTTCCTGCAGGAAGAGACACTAAATCCCAAGTACCATTGTCATCTAAGACAGTCATTTCCTCCAACATAGCAACCCGCCAACCAGGATGAAATAAAGCTTCATGAACAGTTTAAGGAACRAATACAGACTTGAGGGATGCAACAAACGAACAAGTAGGTGAGGGCAAATGGTTAGAAACAAAAGAAGAAACAAGATAAGTACCTTTACGCTTACCTTTTCTAAGAGCAATAGGAAGGTCATCACTTGTTCTTGGATCCAGGAACGAAGAAGCTGCTGGTATAGGGCATGAGCCTRTAGGAGGTTGCCGACGAGAATAAACTTGAGTAATGGTGGGAAGAGAAAGATCAGAAACAGAGGGAGATGTATTGTTAAGAAGCTCTTCARTAGAAGTAGAGACAATGAAATAGACAAGGAAGTCATCATCTTCTTGTGAACGCTCCCCTTGACTGGTACTCAAAGATGATGAAAAAGGAGTACCTTCAAAGAACGTAACGTCGAGAGAGATAAGATATCTATTGAGATCTKGATAGTAACATCAATACCCTTTTTKAACACGAGCATTACCAAGGAAAATGCATTTCARTGACTTTGGGTCCTTATCCTATTGAGTCCAAAGGTGGGCTTCGGTATTTCGTTACCTTTGTCGATGATTTTTCCCGTGTAACTAGGTTATATTTAATGAAACATCGTTCTGAGTTACTTTCTCATTTTCGTAACTTTCATKCTGAAGTTCAAACTCAATTTGGTGGCTCTCTTAAAGTTCTACGAAGTGATAATGCTGAAGAATATTTTTCTGGAGCTTGAAATTAGCAAATAAGTTAGCGTTACCTAGCATATGATTTGTCGCACTAGAGTCAATGACCCATTTTGACGCAGAGGAAATAAGACATTTACTGGTGTTACCTRACTCAGTGACGGCGGTAATCGGATTAGAGGATGATGTCATCAATGACTYTTAATACTGTTGGAACTTAGCAAACTYTTCCGCAGGAATTGTAACTAACTTGCTAGCATCATCAGGAGTAGATGCAACATGTGCAAGACTGTGTTTTCTGGCTTTTATTCAATAGCTTTCTACATTCTCGCTTAGACCAGGCTTATGATAATAATTGCACATAATGATATCTCTTGAATTTGATTTTAGAGCACTAGAATTCCATCATTGAGCATTTGAAGTTGTGGAATTCCCTTGGTAGGTATTACCTCGATATACATTTGTACTACGTCCAACCAAAGCATTGTTAGACTGAGATGACAGGACGGGTTGTGACTTTTCAATGYGAAATACTCGAGTGTATGCCTCCTCTAAAGCTAGAATTTTTTAACCAGAGAGTAATTGGTCTTTGGCGACATCAAATCTAAGTGGAAGACCAAGGAGAAAACTTATAACTGCTAGTTGTTCGCGTTGGGCAAACCTAACTTTTGCATCATTACTATCTGGGAGTAATGCATTAAACTCTACATAAATTTTTTTGTGTTCCATAAAGTAATTTTTAAGCAATTGATCACCAAACTCAGGTTGGTAGAAGTACTTGCAGATTTCAAATATTCGACTAACATTTCATTTTCCAGAATAAAGGAACTCCAAGTATTTAAGCAACTCTTTAACAGACTCAAACTCGTTGACCTATGATAAGTAGAAATTAAAAAAAAAACTTATGTAAACTATCCAGCAAGTAAGCAAGGTTTACTTTTCCTTTCCGTKACCCTTGGTTCTGGAAGGCACATCAGCACCCACCGGAGGTTCGTATGACAATAACGTCACCCTCGATCGAATTCTTGATCTGTAGAACCAGTCAAGAATTATCCCGCAACCAAACTTTCTTGCTTTCATCTTTAGGAGGATCTTCAGTGATGTGATTGTCCATATCAATACTTCGCAAAAAAAGACGAACATTGATTTTCCATGAAGAATAGTTTGATTCATTCAACTTATGTTCTGTGATTTTCGATATCATTGGGATCATCTCAGATGTTACGATTGATTTCTTCTCAMCCATAACAAAAAAACGAACTTATTTGAACAAAGTGACAAAATCAGACCAAACCAATCGAACATAACCGAACAAAATAGATTAACCAAACTACTTGAACCGAATCAACTGAACCAGACCACTTGAATCGAACCGACTGAACCAGACCACTTAAACCGAACCGACT